CCCCAAAAGTAGGAAGTGGGCGGCTCCCAGCTGCCGGCCAGATGTGGACAGCTGGACTGCGGGAGATGGGAAAGAGGACCAGAGTTCCTGGGGCACTGTATGGGGGGGGGCAAGGAGGGGAGAGAACGATGGAGAAGTGGAGAGCGAGGATGATAGAGAGTGATACCAGTGCACACCCCCTGCTACACTCCCCCACCACCCCAAGCCTTTCTTACTCAGGACGTCTCCAGGGAACTCCAAACTAGCTCCTGAGTTTTTAACAATCCAGGCTGGGCTGAGGGAGGAAGGGGAACCGCGTGAGTGGAGGTGGTTACGAAATGAAGTCCCTATTCTGTAGAAGAGGCGAGTGGGGACAGAAGTGACCGTCTGTGGAGCGACCTAAAAGGGGACTGTTTGTCCCCTAGCTCAGTAATAAAGATTGTCCTCTTTCCCCTGCTACCCCTCCCATTGTCATAAGCTAACTCCCTCCTGCCCCGCCGCCCACCGAGATCGAAGGTAGGAGGGGCTTTGAGGAACCACAAGAAGGAATGTGTGTCTCAGAACTGTCACCTTGAACCATGAGATAAGTAGGGGAGCCTCTGGACAGGCTGGAGTTAGAGCAAAGCTTTACTGGGGCTGGGGAAGAGGGTGATGTCAAAGCTGAAACTCAAATTAAGGACACTAGGGACAATGGCAAGGGCGGGGCAGCGGCGGAGGGGAGTTAGGAGCTACCAAGAAACAGAGTGACCCTAGGAGACCCCCTCCCTATGATTTGCCCCCTCCCACCTACTTCTCCGCTCCTCCCTGGTCTCCCGGGCCCCTCCCATCCTCTGGCCCCGCCCTTGCCCCCGGCTCCTCGGGTAATCAGCTGCTGCGTGGCTGTAATTGGCGGTGCCTACCGGCCCTGCGGAGGGCGACTGAAAGAGAGGATGGGGGGGGCGGGGGGCGGAGGAGGGGGTGTAGAATAGAGGGAGGTTAATTGCAGGGCTGCAGGGCCGCAGTCTCAGCTGTGGCTGTGGCTCTGCTTGGCTGGGGTGGGGATGGGGGAGGAGTTCGGGGGGGGGAGGCCAGAGGTGGGTGAGTTTGCCTCTTCACAGGCCGTGGCTGGAGCAGCCTGACCCGTCGCGTGCGGTGGTCAGGAGGTCACCTCCCCAGGGGAGAGTGGGACAGAATGAGGGACACAGAATGAAGCATATAGAGAGAACCGGAAGGAGGGGGAGGAGGTGGCGAGGGAAAGCAGAGTCTGAGAGGTTGGGGGTGGGGACCGAGAGAGGGAGAGAATCCTTTACTCTAGAGCTATGAGACGGTCTCAGACTCTTGGGGGATTGGTGGGACATTTTTTTAAGGCTGGATCCCCGAAACAGCTGGATAGTTGCGGGAAGGGAAGAAACTGTCCTGGGGGCACCTCTCTTCTGGATTTGTGTTCTGGACTCCGCCCTTGGTCCTTCTCCCCTGCCTCGCCCCCTCCCCAGGATCCCCGGGGCCACCCCCACCCTGGGGAAGAATGTACCCTCCTGGCGCAGCCCTTGCCATGGCAACGGCACACCCCAACCCCCGCTCACCGCAGCGGAGGCTGGGGTGGGAGGGGAAGATGGGGGGGGGGCTGACAGGAGCCTCCCTGCCCTGGGGAAGCTTGTCGGCTGCCCTTGTTGCCACAGCAACTGGGGTGCCGCTGATGTGTGCAACCGCCTGGGAGAAGATCCCCAGGTTCCAGGATGGCTCTTTCTCCACTTCCTGACCCGAGCACCCAAGCATCTGGAGGGAAGCCTCCTCCCTCCAAGTCCTGTGGGGTGGGGGTGGGGGTGGGTGGGGGTGGCCAGAAGATTTCTAGGTCACTCTGGATCAGGGACTGAAATGGCATCAAGAATTAAATTCAGGAGTCGTGTCCTTTGATAGGACTTCATTGCTCGTGATGGAGAGGGAAGGACCCCCTTGTTCCCCACCTGGAGAAGAGGAACAGTCACAGTCATAAATCAGCCCTCTCCCCTTTCCCTGCCTCGAGAGAGCTAGGGGGTGCCCAGGGAGGGGCCCCGGGAGGTGTGTATATGGGGAAGGGGGTGTTGCAAGCCCTGAAGCGAGGCTGTGATTACAGGGACCTGTCCCTCCCGCCCCCAGCTCCCACTCTCATTAAGTCATTTTTTCCCCTGTTGGAAAATCCCTGTGCCCAGAGCTCAGGGGCTGGGGCGACCGCAGGCAGCTGCCGGCAACCACATGAGAAAGGGGGTGAGGGGGGGACAGAGCTGGGGAGGCTGGGGGCGGGGGAGGGGGTATCCTGGACCAGCTCCAGACATGAAAGGCTCTAGCCCCCCTTTGGGGCTCAGCTGTGGGGTGATTAAGTTCGGGGCGGGGGGGGGAGAGAAAAAGGGGGTGGTGACTCCTCCTTCTCCTTGATGGCAGTTGCTTCCCTGCTCCAGCGCTGGCATCTTTCTGACTCTCTCTTCTACTAACTTCTTCCCTCAGCTGCATTCAAGATATTTCTCTGACCTCTGCCCCTCTGCTCCTGGCTCTACTTCATCTTCTCCTCCCTGGGCCTAAGAATGGTCTGGGAAGCAGGATGCTTAGGTTCTACTTCTCAATTCTACTCCAGGCTCCCTGTCCCAGAGCCTTACCCCAATTTCTGCCTCTATTTTCCATTCTAATTCCATGTCTCCACTTTAGTTTCAGTTTGGTGTGTATATCTCATTGGGTTTAGAGCTAAATGGATCTAATCCAACCTTATTGTGCAGTTGAGGAAACTGAGGGTCAGCAAGGTTAAATGTTTTTCCTAACATAATAGAGATCTTCTCTCAATCCAAGATTCTCCCACTATGCACACTGCCTCACTTGACACTTCTTGACATGCCTTCTCATTGTCTTCTCTTCTCCAGTTTACTCCATGTTCTGGCTGGGCTTTCCAGGATCATCCTATTCATTCCTTGCTTCCTGGGAGTGTAAGCAGGGCTTCTTAGTCAGATGAGAGGTGTGGAGACATAGGAAACTTTTCCCTTCCCTGACAGATGTTGAGCAGCAAAGATGCTACCACTTCACCAGCTTCATTTCCTTTTATTCCCCCCACCCTCACCACTTAGTTCATAAGTTCATGCTGGCATCTAGACTTCACCTCTTCTCTTACTCCTAGATGACTTTTCTAATAGCCTTCAGGGCCCATTCATTCAGTCTCTCTTTAGCCTTCCTTCTCTAGACTGCATAAGCCCAGCTCCTCTTAGAACTCATTTCCTTGCCCCTCATCATCACCGTGACTCCCTTCTAGTTCCTTTCCACTTTCCCCATATCACTTTTTCAGTTGTGGAATCTAGCCCTGGCCTCAGGACCCTGGCCAGTACCTGAACCCAGACTGAGGATGAGTGGGACACTTTATCATCTACTTCCCTAACCCCATTACTGGAAAACTCCCTGTAGCCCCCACCTCATTTCTTCAAGTAAGGATTCCTAATTTACTTCAAGACAGATGAAATAGCTTTGCAGCCCACTGTGATCCTTTAGCTCTTTTTGTGCCATGCTCAGCATAATCTTGGTGCTTCCCCATCTTGTACCTCTAACTATATCCATCTCCACTCTCCCTTGAATCTCCACCTAGACTTTTCCTTATTCCAGCTGCCCTGTACTAGTGCAATATCCTCTTTGGGTCTGGGGTCAGGGCTTGGTCCATCCAGGAGGTGGAGTGAAGCACAGAGGTAATGGATGGCTCTGGGGTATAATGGTGTAAAATCCTGCCAAGAATGGCAATGGCCTACCTAATCCTCACTCTATCCTTCCCCTATCTTCTATTCCCCCTCTCCCTAAACCAATGATGGCAGAGGAGGGATTGGGAGTGGGGGGGGGGGGGGAGCCCAGCCCCATAGCTTCCTCCTAGATGAGCAAGAGGAATGGAATGAACCAGGTGTGTCTGACTGCTCCTGCCCCCCTCCCCACCCACCTCCCCCTTTCCACCTCTCCTCCCAGGGGCCCCACAGCTTTCTGTCTTCCTGGGCTTTCTCCTGGAGGATGAAATTTTGGAGATTTGTCTTTGTCAAGCTTTATCCAGCCAAGCCTGGGACATTAAGGCATTACTGAAGCCTAGACAAGCCAAGTGAATCCACTCAAAAGCTGCAGAATTGTAGGACTGGGGGAAGATGTGCGGACCTGAGAGCAGTCTAATGAGGGCTCCTCTCTTAGCTGGCTTGACAAGGTTGGGCTTGATAGGGTTAGCAGAATGTGGGCATAGCCAAGACATGAACCACAGTCATCCAAACCTCTGCTTTCACTTTCACCCAAAGAAGTTGGCCTAGGTTGATGGTGGGGACATGGATCACCCCATTTGGATGGGAGACTAGCCTTTGGAGATGGGTCTAGAGGACTCAACTTTTAGTCCTAGATCTTGGGGGTGGGGAGTACACCTTTTTAGGATAAAGTGAAGCTGACAATAGGGTTACAGCTGTGGATAACAGGGAATTGAACATGGAGTTAGCTAAGACTCCTGGATTCTAGCTCCCTTCAATTGATGCTTTCTTCCTCATTTTTTTTCTATCTTGTTCAGGTGTTGGGTTTAGTACTGGGACCCCAAATCATCACCTAGATCCCTTTAAGACTGGGAGAAAGTAATGGGGGAAGGAGTTAGGGAGGAGGAGAAAGCTTTCTGCTCAATTGTCTGGGCATATACGTGAATGAATGTGTACAAACAGATCCATATACAAACATATACATATACAAACGTGTGTACAAGGGGTTGGAAAGGGAAATATTGGGAAGAGCTAGCTAAGAGAGAATGAGAGAAACATAATAGGGAATGGGGGACCTTCTCTAAGCACTTCAATCTCCTCCCTAGCTCTCCAACCTCTACCATACCCAGCTCTAGTCCTGGGAGTGGAGAATCTAGACAGTAACATTCCAGACAGTGAGTCTCCCTAGCCCTCCCCCTGGCCCCACCTCTTGGCCCCACCTGCTCCCTGGGGCTCTGGGCTTGGCTATGCCAAGCCGTGCCCAGGGATTACCAACGACCCGCCTTCATGGGGCCATTCCTCACATGGGTGCCTCCTGCCTGCTCTGTTAGACTATTGGGTACTCCCCCTCCCCACTAACTTCTGCCTTGGGGGTATAGAGAAGGAAACTAAGGCCTAGGGTAGAGTTCCAGGGGTTGAAATTGGTGTATGAACCCAAGTATCCAAGTATCCAAGAACCCTAAAGATAACAATGCCAAGAGAAGGGAGAGAAGGCAAGGAATGCAGTACCTGATCCCTTTATAAAATCTGTATTGCTCAATTGTCCCTATGTCTTCTTTTTAATAAACCTCTTCATTCCACAACAGAATCAGTGTTTTCTGGGGAGGACATTTTTGAGGGAAAGAGTAGGAAAAACTGAGTGATTTCTGCACCTCCCCATATCTCAGCACACCCCATTATTCCCCTTTCAAAGCCCTTTATCATCCGGGCTGTTTAGGAAGAAGAAATGGGATTGGCAGAAGGTGAGAGTTCAGTCCCGAGATTCCTAGGTGACAAGGTGGGGGTGTGGGAACAGCTGGGCTGCCTGCAAAGTGGAGTCCAAAAAAGGTGGTGTAGCCCAGACTCTTCGTTTTACAGACAAGGAAACCGAAGCCCAAAGAAAGTAAGTGACGTAGCCAAGGCTGCACGGAGGATTGCGGCAGGGCCCCGGATCCTCCCATCACACCTCCAGGTCTGTCAGATACCCTCGGAGACACGGACCGTGGAGGTCACTTGCAGACGCTGACCCACTCGGTGATGCGGCACTCTTCGCAGACGACAAAGCAGCACCAGTGGAAGCGACAGTGGCACCGCTCACTGCGAGTCTGCCTCAGGATGTTATGCCCTCTCCCACAGCAGAGGCTTCCGCAGCTGTCCGGCCCCGTGCTGCTCTTGTTACACAGCCTCCCCGCTGTGCCCGCCGAGTCCAGCCGGGGCTCCCGCTCACAGAAATCCGGGGACTTTTCGAAGTAGACCAGGTCTGTGGGACTGGCTCGCCGGCGAGCTGGGGGCGAGCCCGGGGAGGGGAGGGGACCCCCAGCCGCGCCCAATTCCAGTTGGCCACCGTTGCGGTTGTGGGGCCGGATCAGTGTGGCGCGCTGAAAGCGGGCTCGGAGGAGGGACCCCACCGCCCTGAACTCGGGGGTCACCTGCCAGCAGGTCTTCAGCTGACAGCTGCCCGATGTGCCGTGGCATTTACACTTCCGGCGCATATTCTCCATGACTGCCTGGGGGAGGAAGACAAGGAGGCAGTCATGGATGAAGTGGCTGCCAGACATCCCTCTGCCTCCCAAAAGCCCCCTTAAGCAAGCAGCCCTACTCTTTTGCATCAGCCTGATCCAGCTCTGCTCGCTACCCCAGCCCCGACTACAAGAGGTCCCCTTCAAGTGGTCTGAAATCTGTATAGCAACATGGGCTCCCAGGGCTGGCCATGCTTAGGCACTCTCTGGGTTACACCCATACAGGGACAAGCTTTGATGTCTCCCAAATCATCAGAAACAGAAGAGAAGAGGGAGGTACTGCCCACCACGGGACTCAGGTTCTTGCTTCAGGCCCCTTCTCTTCACTATACACATACACATCCTGCCTTTTTCAAACCCTCTAGTTCTATATTCTGCTGATCCCTAATTCTGTTCCCACAGGACCAGACCCCAGGGGAATCCCCGGCTTCCTGCCCCCTCCAGTCCCCCAGTACCTCTAACGGTATGAGAAGCCCCTGCTCTCCTCCCCTTTCCACCACTGCTCCCCCCTCCACAGCAGCTGCAAGGGACCGTTGGGGCTGGGGGGGTCTCTTCCCCACACTTCAGCCTGCTCTTACTTCCTGAGGGGGGATACCCAATCCCCAGGGAAATCCCCAAGCCTTCCTTCCCTAGATGGGGGGCAGGAGCTGGAGGGGCTGGGGGTGTGGGCCCCACCATGTCCCAGCCCGTAGATCTGATGGCCTGGCCTACCTCCAGGATGTGAATGAAGGCTGTGGTGAGACACAGAAAGTCCCACTCCTTCCTTGAGGCCTTAAAGTCCATTTTGGGGATGCCATGGGTAGAAGTGGAAGATATTTCCTTCCCTTAGAATGGTCAGGCAACTTTGACTCTACCAAATCCCCAATAGCACCTGCCATACTTTTCACCTCAGTTTCCCCCTCTGTAAAGTGAAGTTTGAGTGAAGCACCACCAGAAAAAAAAAAACCAACTTCCTCAGACTCAAAAGCTAAGGACAAGGCAGAGAAACGAATTTAAACAGCCTAACTCCTAGTCCACCCCCCAATTCATTCCAGAATGGAAGGAGAAATGAGGTAGGAAGTGAGGGCACCAATTTGTCTCAACTCCAACTGAATCTGGAAGAACAAGACAAGCAATGTAACAGAAAAGACCACGAGCCCTAGAATCGGAGCACTTGAGCTTGATTCCCAGCTCTGCTACTTACTACCTGTGAAATTCTGAGACACTTGCTTAATATCTCAGATTGTTTCTTCATTTGCAAGATGAAGGTTTTAGATAAGATGGTCCCCGAGGTCCCTCCTACTTCTCAATTTGATTAGCCTACCAGAGAACCCTGAAGTTAGCCTCAGCATCTTAGACCACTTAATAGAATCACAACATTCTTTCCATCCTTCTTCAGAGCACTATTCCTGATCAGAATACCTGTAACCCATGGCATGACAAAGTCCAGCCCCCATCTCTGGGCTCTCAACCTTTCCCATATCCAAGGTGAACCTGAAAACCCCAGGGGTAGGAGGTCTTAATCCTAGTGCCCCTCTTGGAAGTATCTGTAGTTGAAGCAGACAGCTTTGAGGTTCTAGGGCTGGGCTATGCCCAGCAATTCTCTGTTTTGAGGCCACGTTAGAACCAGCTTTGATGCCTCCCAAGTCCAGCAATTCCAAAACTGCTTCCCACCACCAGCAGCTATTAATTAACCAGTTTAACAAGAAGTTGAAGCCATTGGTTTGGGGGATGGGAGGGCAAAGGTGTTAAAGCTAGGGGGAAGACCTGCCTGGGTGGAGTAGGGCTGGGAGGAATTTGAAACTTTGGGTGCACCCCCTCCTTCCCTCTGTGCCTCAGCTTAACTCTCTCAGTGTCTGGAAAGGAGAAGAGAACACTCTTTAGCCTCCCAGTGATGGGAAGGGAATGGAGGTGACATTCAACAGGACAAGGAAAGAGGACTAGATGAGAAGAAATCAGGGAAATGGAAGGGTCAGGGGTCACCACAATGGTGAGAAGAAGGAGGGGAGAAAAAAAGAAATGGTTCGGGGGGGGGGGGACTAGATTGGAAAATGAATTTAGACTTCCCCAAAAGCCAGTGATACCTGGTGGCCTACAGTACACCTTGTACCTTGAGGAGAAGAGGATGAAATAACGCAATGGTACATATTGGAAAGTGTTGGAAAGCTTTGGAACTAAAGACAGAAAATGTCTGAGTCTTTAGGGACCTCCAAGACCATCTCGTTCAATCCATACCTGAACAAGAAAGGCCTACATACCAAACCTATGGCCACCCAACTTCTGCCAGGGAAGGGTGCGCCACTCCTTCCTGAGGTAGCCCACTCCATTCTGCAATAGCTCTAATTGTTAGGAAGTTTTTCCTGACATCAGGTCTGAATTTGTCTCATTAGCTCCAATTGTTAGGAAGTTTTTTTCCCTGACATCAGGTCTGAATTTGTCTCATTGTCACGTCTCCCGGTTGCTCCTAATTCTGTTTGCACTTTGGGGCTAAGCAAAACAAGTCTAATCCAGGTGCCATGTTCTAAACCCTTGGGGTACTTACAGCCAGATATCACAACCTTCTCCCAAGCCTTCTCTTTCCAGGATAATTATTCCCAGTTCATTAAACAGATTTATATGGCATGATCTCTAGGCCCTTCATGATCCTGTTTTCCCTCTTCTGAATGTACTCTATTCATGGGTGGGGAACCTGTGGCCTCTAGGCCACATGTGGCTTTCTAGGTCCTCAGGTGTGGCCCTTTGACGGAGTCCAAGTTTCACAGAAAAAATCCTTTTATTAAGGGGATTTGTTCTGTGAAGTTTGGATTCAGTCAGAGGGCCACACGTGGCCTTGAAGCCACAGGCTCCCCACCCCTGCTCTGGCTTATCAAAGACTGTCTTAATATGTGTGGCAACCAGAACTAAGCATGATACTGCAGGCATTGGACCAGGGTAGAGTCCACCAGGACAAAGACCTGGATTTGGATCCCAGCTCCACCCTTTGGGACACAGGTGCCTTATTTCACTTCTCTAGGACTCTTTAAAATGAGGGAGTTTGTACTAACTAGACAATCTGAATCCCATGATCCCAAAAGCACTTTATGACTTCAGTAACTCTGACTACCAAACCAGCATTGTGGGAATTCATCAAACCTGCTCCAGGGTGTAGGGGCCTAATCTCCTTAAAAGGAAAATTGAGTAAAAGCCATATTGTGTGTGTTGCAGGCAGGGGAGACCTCAGAGATAGTCTAATCCAAGCTCCTCGTTTTATAGACAAGAAAATGGCAGAGAGGCACATCGATTTGGCCAATATCACACATTGACAAGGAAGGGATAGAAACCAAATCTTCTGACTTCCAGGCTAGTGTTGCCAAGTGTTTGCCAAGGTAGGGGATGGAGAGTAACAGAGAAGAAGGGAATAGCAGGGAGAGAAGAGAAATGGAAGAAGAAACAGAGAGCTAGTGAGACCAGAATGGTTCTTACGTCCTGGAGCCTATAAGTATAGTAGATCTGGAGGGGTTGAGATAAGGTTCCAAGGATCAGCGGTAAGCTAGCTAGGAGGATGAGCTCCAGGATTTTGGAGCCGGGCTTCTCACCTGCCTCCCAACACGGTTATTATGGAGCCGCATTCTGGCATGAATATCCCTGTGTGGTTCCCTGGAGTCCAAGAAGTCCCTGGAGAACCTCTCTCCAAAGCCAACATCTGGGCTGCAGCCCCCCCACTCCCAGGCATCCTGGAGTCCAGGGGCAGCAGGGGGCAAGGCTGGATGCTCCGGGACCCCGTGGCTCATGCCCTTCCCCCTCTGTAAAGCATCCAGCTGGAGTTGGTGCAGCTTCTGCCTGAAGGCCTCTTCATCGCCTCGCCGAGCCTCATCACAGCCGCAGGCCTTTAGTTTCCCCAGGGCACAGGCATTGGACACAGCATGGACCACACCAGCTGCTGCGATGGCATAGGCAAAGGCACTCTCTCGGAAGCCTGTGTACAGAGATGGGAAGAAGGCCACTGTCATCTCTGCCCAGTAAGGGCCTTGGCAAAATGGGAAAAGAGAAGTTTATCTTCATCACTGCAAAGAAATGCTTTCCATCACCCTCAGAGTGAACCCAAAGGTTCTTTACCTTTTTTGTGGCAAGGACCATTTTAGTCATCTGGTGAAGCCTATGGACCCCTTCTCAGAATAATGAGCAAAATGGAATAGTTAAGATGACACAGGAAACCATTATGTTTTAAATCAAATATTTTAAAATAAAACCAAAATATTTTAAAAACAAATTCATAGACCCCCTGAAATCTATTCACAGACCCCATCCTAAGTTAAGAACCCCTTCTTTATTCTTCAGGTGGTGGCCCCTCTGTTTTGACTGCCATCCATCCCTTCCTTTAGGGCAGGGGTACTTAACCAGTGACCCACAGACTCCCATTGGGATCATGACTAGATCTCAGGTGACCCAAAACTTGGATGAAAAAATTACACCTTTATTTTCATTTCTTGTCATATTTTCATTTCCTTCAATCATGAATGTAGACAACAAACATTATTCTGCAAAGGAATGAGACAGAGAGAGAGAGAGAGAGACAGAGACAGAGAGAGAGAGAGATTAAAATAATCAAAACTCCATACTCTAGGGGTAGCTAGGTGGCATAGTGAATATAGCACTGGCCTATACTGAAGGACCTGAGTTCAAATTTGACCTCGTATCAGACACTTGACACTTACTACCTGTGTGACCCTGGACAGGTCACTTAACCCCAATTGCTTCACCCCCCAAAAAACACTCTAGGGCAAGAGTGAGGAACTTGTGGCTTCAGGAGAAGTCAAAGGAATTAGGGATACCCTAGAACAGGGGTGGGAAACTTTGGCCTCCAAGCCACATGTGACCCTTTAGGTCCTCAGGTCCTTTGGCCTGAGTCAAAGTTTTACAAAACAAATCCTTTTATTAAGGGGATTTGTTCTGTGAAGTTTGGATTCAGTCAAAGGGCCATACTTGAGGACCTAGAAGGCCACATATGGCCTGGAGGCCGAAGATTCCCCACCCCTGTTCTAATTCCCTTGACTTCTCCAGACCCAGACAAAAAACAAAAGACCTTCCACTTTTAACACAGCTGAGAAAAAGTAGAGTTAAAAGAATATTAAATCATTAAAAAGGAAAAGTAATGACCAGCAAAGGAAGATAGAACATCTGAAAAGTCACCATTTGCAAATACAAAGAATTGTTTAATTTCACAAAAAATCGGAGGCAAAATAGTACAATAGAACACTCCCTGGCGCTAGAGTCAGAATCTAGGTTCATATCCTCTCTGTCACCTTCTGCCTGTGTGACCCTAGGTGAGTTACCTGACCTCCCTCCCCTCCCCTCCCTTCCCCTCCCCCATCTTCCCCTGGCCATTAGTTTTCTCACCCATAAAGAATGCCTGAAGTCCCTAACAGCTCTGGGATCTGTGCTTGGTAAGTCTAGAGTTCAGCTGTGAATGCTGTCCTTGTCAAAAACCTTTTCCCTACTGGTGAAAGTACTCAAAGGAGCCAGTAGGCAAAATGACAGGCAAGCTGAAAAGTGACCGACCAAAAAGACCTGATGGATGGAAGCGGGAAAACGCCTTAAGAGCAGCCAGGTAGCCCACAAAGACCACAGGATGAGCAAAGCCTAGCCTGGTGTGCTAGGAAAGAGGCAACCATGTCACAAAGCACGTGGCCCAACAGACTAGGAGGATGAAAGAGAGTTGGACGCCAGAACAGCTCCCTATGGCTTTGTAAACTGACCAGCAGAACTTTGTGCCTCCTTTTTGTTTTTGATGCACTTTTTTCCTAGTAAAGTTTTGTGGTTTTTCTTTAAATTCTACCAAGTCTCAGTGGGATTAAGGAAAGGCAAGGCTATTTTTATTTTTGTTTTTGTTCATTGCCTGGAGCTGGAGATTGGGAAGGAATCTGGGTATCCAAAGGGTAAAGGGAGGTTCTAGTGGCAGTGGAATTTTGAGGGGTGATCCCCATCAGAGCTGGGGTAGACATATTAGAGAGTAAGAAAACATCACATAGAGAAAACTAGGGATTAGTTTGTGTGCTCTAGTCTAAACCTTATCTAGCTCATTTTTTTTTATTAGCAAAAAAGGTGCTCATTTCTGCACATTTTAAATACTACGTAGGGAGTCCAGCCAGGCCATGTTCTGAGTCCACCTAAGCCTTGTCCTCAATTTCCTATTGTACTCACTGATAAGGTTTTGTTCACAGTTGATGCCCTCTCCTTAACAAAGTATGAAATTCCAATCACAAGGTAAACTCCTTTGTGCCTTGTCTTGAGTTGACTAATGGATAGCACATTGGGGGTGATTAGTTGACTCACAGTTTATTCATACATCTAGGCTTGACCTCTAAGAAAGAGTGGCAGGTGTGCCTCAAAGAGCAAAAAAAAAAGGAAATGAAAAAGATTCATGAATACAAAAGTATTTATAGTCGTTCTTTCTGTGATTCTAAAAAAACTGAAAACTCCGTGGGTGCCTATCAACTGTATTTGGGAATGGTTGAACGAACTACAGTATATGAATGTCATACCATTGTACCATAAGAAATGATGAATGAGGCTTTTTCAGAGAAACATGGGAAAAGCTGCATGAATGAATGCAGGTGAAATGAGAAAAACTGAGAACAATTTGTATAATAACAAGTAAAGACAAACAATTCTGAGAGACTACAGAACTCAGATCATCACAATAACCAACCAAGATTCCAGAAGGAATGATGAAATGTACTGACAGAGAAGTGATAGGACCAAGATACAGAATAGGGCATCTATTTCTGGACACTACCAATGAAGAAATTGATTTTGCTTACTTGTTCAAAGGGTTTTCATTTCTTTGTTTTTTTCCAAATATGGGCAAGAGGAAAGAGGAAGAGAAAATAGATTCTTATTAATTAAAGTCTAATAATAGTGTTTAAGGGAGTGGAAGAAAACAAAAAGGAAGAGAGAATCTCGACAAGCCCCACTGATTCCTACAGAGAAAAGTAGGGGTAACTAGAGGGCCGCTCCAGGAGAATACATGTTCTGGGGAACCATGTATGCAGTGGAGTTCTTCAGCCAGAATGCCTGCACCAAGTGGGAGTTGAGGCCTAAATCAATAAGGAAGAGCTCCATGAGGTGAAGGAACAAACCCAGCCCTTGCCTTCAATGTGAGTTATGAAGACTATGCAGTTCAACTCTCTAGTGACCCCAAATTCTTTCCTCTTGTGGAGAAGTTTCAAGCAAAGGGTGGAGCAGCTGTGTAGGTCCCTGGGAGAGGTAAGGCTCATCAGAGGGGGAAGCTTGTTGGACAATCTCGAAACTCCCTTTGGGAGGGGAGCGCTCCACCTCAGAAGAGCACTACAAGTCAAGAAGACTCCATAGCCCTTTGGGGAATGTGGCAATTCCTCGAGAGGGCAGGAGAGTTATCTTGACCATTCACAGGCTTGGGTATAAGCGGTGTGGGTTGTTGTTGTTGTTGTTGTTGTTTGGATTTTTTTGTGAGTCTGTGTATGTGTGTTAAATGAAATAAAGTGTATGTTAGAGCCAATGTTTCCTTAGCCTGAGTGCTGGCAGGAGCATTAAAGGGTCTTTACCTTTTGTCATGGGAGTCCCTAGGAGAAACCCTGGGTGGGGCATAAGCCAAAGAGAAAATTGTGAGACAGAACCTTGAAGACTTAATCCCGTCTGTGTAAACCCAGAGCTTCAGTTCTCCCACATTGCATAAACAAACGTTAAGCACCTATTGTGTACATAGCATTCCTGGTAGTCACTGAGGGGGGAATAAATTTTAGATATGTCCCATGACCCCAAGAAGCTTCATAAAGTAGGAAGATATGACACAAGAAAAGATAACTGTAAAACATAATACTGCAGGATTGGTACATTAGCAAGGCACCAACCGATGTACTATATGTGCCCCTCTCTTCTCCCTTTTCAATACCCAGAAATCTAATGCTCAAACTAGGTGTTTTCTGGGATATTTCTATGAACAATTGAAAAAACACCTACACCTTAAGGTTAAGAAAGGACTAGCCCTTTACTAACTATGTGACTTGGGGCAAGTCACTTAACCCCAATTGCCTCACAAAAAAAATTGGAAAAAAAAAAAAGGAAGGACTAGTCCTTTTTGGGGTAATGCATTTTAAAAGTGCTGGGTTACTACAGGTGTGGGATATTATATACGTCATCAGACTCAGTAGATATGCTTTTTGGTTTGGGGAAACTTTTTTTCTTTTTTTGAATTTTTTGTTACAATGGATGACTATGTAGTATGGTGGATACAGCTCTGGATCTGGAGTCAGAAAGACCTAAGTTCAAATGCAGCCTCAGACACTTACTAGCTACGTGGCCCTGGGCAAGTCACTTAAGCTTTATTTGCCTCAGCTTCCTTATCTCTAAAATGGGGATAATAATAGCATCTACTTCCCAAGGTTGTTATGAAGATCAAATGAGATAATATTTGTGAGGTTCCTTATAAACTTTAAAGTACTATGTATAAATACTAGTAATTATAGTAATAATTTTTTGAAATAAAAGAAAAAATAAATGAGCAAAGCAAAGAGAAGACAATGTTTAACCTAAAGAACAAATAACTAATGGTGGAATTTTAGGCATCTGTAGAGAAGAGATTTTTGAGCCAAGAGGCCTTCTTGGGTTTCCTGGAGGACTGCGACTGCTCACCACTACCCTACTTCTATGGCTAACCCTTTCGTAATTCATTTTATATGTTCATCTTATCAATTTTCACCCACAAAATAGCTTCCTGAAGGTCAGACTTAACAGGTAAAGAGAGAAGGACTACAGAGTTCTCTTGCCCTTATTCCCCCAATGGAAGCCTGAGCTTGTAGAGAAAAATATTCCCCTCATTTCCTATAACCACCCAAATTCCTACCCTTCGCTTAGCCTGGCAACATGAAAATGTCACCTCATAGAGAAGCTGGTTGTGGTCCCCAATGCTAGTCCCCCAAAAGTGCTCCTACCCCAAGT